TTTACTAAATAACAACACATGTTTTATAAACCACAAGTGAAACAAGAATTAGATAGCATCTAACTTCTGTGTATAAAGATAGTTCTCTAATACTAATATCCTCATACTCTCTAATTTCAGATGTAATACTCCCACTGACTTAGCTACAACCTTGTCATCGGGTCAAGTACAAATATATTTCATATCATCGAGGCTTCTGGATTCCTGAAATCCTTGCAACGAATTGCAAACATGTTTAGTGGCTCTAGAATCTATCCATCAGGAATTAATAGATACAACCACATAACATGGCTCAATGATTAAATATATATTTTCCTATGCCACGTCATTGCTTAGACAATTCATCCTTGAGTGTCATAGTTAGCGGCAAAAGAAACAATTTCCTTCGCCCTCAACATGCACTGCCTTATTCCCTTTAATCTTTTAGATACCCATGTTTTGTGCAAGCCTAATCCTATTATCATCCTTCTTCTTTGCTTTGCCCGTCCACTTGGGCCTAGAAGAAGATGATATAGACTAGGTTAGATTGATAAGAACGCCTATACTCTTGATTATCCCTTCATCTGTTACCAATTCTATAAGAATATCAGCAAGTGTGAACTCAAACTGATTCCTTATTTAGTTCACTCTAACAGAGTCGAACGAGTTTGGTAACAAGGCAATAATCATGTCAACTTGAAACTTACCACCAAGTCAACCCTATTGATCTCCAGTTAATTTTTAAATAATAAACAATCATTTTCCAAAATTCGATTTCATACTGGAGTTCCTTAGGCTATCTTGATGCTATTCAAGTCTAACATAGTACTTTGGCATACTCTCTATCTAATATCACCAAAACATCTTATTGACATTTAACATGATGTTTGTAGAAAATAAAATAATGTAAATGTTAGCTTTGGAGCGTATTCGAGGTAATCTCTAGAATATTGCACCAAGTCATCTCATTTGCCTTATTTCACTTGTTCAAAGCATTAATGTTCTCTTGGGTATCTTAAAGTAAAAAGAATTAGATTTAGGAGTAGTAAATACATTTGTAACCTTACGTTGTGAATAAAATTTCTAAGTTCCTTTTTCCAGTCAATATTAATGAGGTCCAGTTACATTGAATATGTAAGCAAGCAAATAAACTAGATTAGACATAATTGATCTGAATATAAATGCATTCATACAATATGCAAGGTGAATTATTAATACTGTCATGCATATTTAAAATTAAAATGAGTTTGTTAACCACATAATATAATAAATCTCAATCGAACAAGAGATCATTATCATTATTGGTGAACAATCGCTTTTAATTAATTCGGGTCCCTCAACTCTGTAGCATAATAAATCAACCAATTAATATGTCAATAACATCTCCTGTTGGAGGAGTTCATTATTACTATTGTTGAGATTCATTTACTATTAGGCGAGCACTTCCATTAAAATAGTATGTGGGTCCCTTAACCACTGCATGAAAAATCGGATAACCAATATACCAATAACTTATTCGGTTGGCAAAGTTCATTACTGCTATTGGCGGGTAGAACCCATCATCTCCATATCTCTTAAGACAATGCCTTGTCTATCTATATGAAATGATTCCCGATTATGTTTAGCCTTTCTAAAATCACCTAGTGTAGACTACTCCGTTGGGGAGCTAACACTATTGATTTTAGATTGAGTGTATAACGTTATTAATGCTCTAATGAAAAATAAAACATTTAAATATCTTGTCATTATAATCTAGACTCTTTAAATCATGCTTAGGGCCTTATTTTTAAAGATCTAATTATAATGAACATTTAATATTATTATTTTCATGAGACAACCATTCTTGTAATATTAAGACTCTTCAAATCATGCGTGGGGCCTTATTTTTGAAGATCTAATTACAATGGTGTTAATAACGAAGGCCATGGGGCAATGTATAAAAATCCCTACTCCCACTCAATTTTTAATCATTCATAATTAGGGTTTTAATTTTATTCATTTACATGATATAATGCATGCAAAACGTCTTGATTTTAATCCAATTAAATTTAGAAAATTATTGGACTTTTAAATGATTCACTAATATTTAATTGGAGGCACACTTTAAAAATAATTTACAAAAATAATTTTTTTCGTTTCCCAATAAGTGCCCTCAAATTAATTAGTAATCAAATCCAATTAATTTTCATAATTTAATTAATATAAGTCAAGTAATTTAATTAAATATCATGGATCCAATGCATGAACAATAATAATAAACAATTAATTATTCCATGCATCAGTTAAATAAATAAATGACAGACAGAAACAAATTAAATGGCCAATGGATTTAGCTTTTAACATTTAATTGCTCTAATCATTGCGTGAGGATCTTCTATCAGCTTGCAAACACCTACAAGAAATGATACAGCGCGTGCCACGCGCCGGCACGCGTTCGTGTGAGGTACTTGCTTGGCCTGGCGCGTGCTCCTCACGCGCTAGTAAGCAGCTGATCTGGCGCGTGTTCCACACGCGCCAGTTGCATGGAAGGTGCGCTGCACCTGATTCCTCTCTCCAATCCAACCGTTGTGAATCCGTGCGCACGATACTAAGGTGTACCTTACCGCACTTGATCCTCCTAAATCCCTTCGGCTCTGCAGTCGCTGCCGACGGCCCTCCGGTCGCCGGGAAGTCGTCGGAAAACTGCCGAAAATAATTAAAAATTCTAGAAAAATTAAATTTAAGCCCAAAAAATTCCAGAAAAATTCCAAAAAATTCTGGAAAAATTCCAGAAAATTCTTGAAGCCTAATTTAATCCTCTTGGACCTTCTTGAAGCTTCATAACATCCTTTTATGAAAATTACATGGCTTTAAAAATATTTACAATTTGAAATACAATGGAAAAAATTAAATTACATTATTGAACTTTCAAACGGCTAAATCAAAGCCTTAATTACATTCATCCAAAGATAAAATTACATTCAATTGACCTACAAGCTTCATCCATGGCCCAAACACATATCATCATCCATTCACAATTATACATACATCATCATGTATCAATATATTAAATCATACATCAATATATATATATAATTTGGATCCATGATGATGATTTTCGTAAAAAAACATGATCTCTAGTAATGAATCAAACCATGCTCTGATACCACTGTAGGGAAACGTGCTAGTTTTAAAAACTTTTTGAGGGATTTAAATTCATAGATCTTGATTCATCACATAGAGACAAGTTTTATGCAAAAATAAAACATGATGTATCATTCAATTAAAAGATTGAATACTTACATCAAGGTTTGAGTAAACCTTAGATCTCTCCTCTAAAGTGAATGTTCTCACTTATTGTAGATCCTTTTTGCTAGACACATTTTCCATGGATCTCTATCTTTTTAGTAATGGTCTTACTTTTAGGAATCACTCATAAGCCTCCATGAATGACCTTGGAAAACTAGGCTTGTGGGAGCCTCCATTAGATGAGAACACTAACCCTAATTTTTTAGAGAGAGAAAATTTATTCCTTTTTCCTTCTTCCAAAAAAACTCCCCAAAATATACATAGACCATGTATATTTATAGGCAATATAAAAATAAAGAAAAGAAAACAACAAATCTTTCTCAATCTCTAATTCACATGTCTCAAATCTAATATGATTCCAATATCAAGTTGGGCTATGAGTGAGAATCCATTGGGCCTATTATTTTATTGGCTACAATGAATTAATAATTGGCCCGGTCCATGGACCCAATTCAATTAATTCATAAATTAATTTCTACTCCACTAAAAGAAATTAATTGAATTCCAATTAAATAATAAATAACATCTAAGTCAATATTGCACTTTGACCCCTCTATGCATAATTTGTTATCGGATAAATAAAGCCATCAATCCAACTACTTAATTAATATATTTATTTTGGTACCATTGATTATTTCTGACTCGATCACAATAAAACATTTGTTTGACAAAAATAATAATTTAAATAAATAAATATATAATAAATCATTTTATCTAAAAACATACGAAGGCCTTCGAATTTACTTTGTGATCAATCATAATCAATACAAAATAAATACAAGTAACAATGATGCAAATATTGAAAATATAACCCTTTAACTATTAATTACATAACTACCCAAAGTGTCGGTCTAAGGATCCCGAAGAATCCGCTGAACAAATCAAAGTAATTATTAATTAATAAAAGAATCTATAATTTTCTCATACTTAAGAGTCAAATGACATGACGGTGATAGGGAGCAATTGCATACGACGGCTCTCGCAATATATCTCAACCTAACGCGAATCCAGTTCAAATCTTAATTAATTATGAGTCCATCCATAATTACCGATTATGAACCATTTATGATTACTATTTATATGTATTGATTGTCATTACATACATATATATAAATATCTCTTGTAATCAAATGGACACTATCAATTTTATAATGAATTGAAATATAATATATTGAATTCACCAATTGTATAAAATATAAATATTTCAAAAACGTTAGGAACATATATCACTTTAATTCAAATAAAAATTTACTATGTCAAGGCATATAAATCCCAATATTTATATGTATGTAAAAAACAACAATAATATCATAATATCATACCTGCTTATAATGTCAAATTTAAGTTACATCGTACTAATCACCCCAAATTAAAATTTCTGGCTACCCCTGGTACATCAAGCTAGCTACCGTCTCTTCAACACTTGGCGCAATATAATAGGGCACATGACTAGGTCAATTTCTAGTGCCATCTATCATTTCTAAATAACAGCAACCGTTGCTATCACAACTTTACTCTTTTTCAGTAAAATATTCTGTCATAATAGGAACTGTTGCTATCACAGATTGACTCTTTAAACCATGTAGTTGATATAGATGAGAATTGGTGTTCTGCTTGTAGTTATCATATATAGTTCCCAAACGTATCCACAAATACAACATAAAATTCTTTCAAGCCCCAAAAGGAGTCATGACTCAAGCATGAAAGTGTCACCATCTTCATCAACCGTAGCATCACTCTCCCTTTGCACCAACGGGCTTGACCGAGTCCTCACTATTTCCAGCCGCTGCCAAACCACTCCCAATCTGCCCATTAACCGACCAAGAAGAAGAAGACGACCGTATCCTTGTCTGAACATACCCATTCCTTAACATTGCATCATGAAATCCGCCCTCCTGATCCCCCAAACTCACCGCATACCTCTTCAACTTCTTCGGATTTTGCTCCGCCGGTAACTTGTACCGACACAAGGGACACGAATTGCTCCTACGAAGCCACGGAACGATACAATCTGAATGAAAAACATGCTTACACGGCAATTGATTCACCCCTGAATAAAATTCGAAGTCATCCATACAGATTGAGCAGGATCCATGGCAAGAATTGGATGAAGAAACACAGAAAAATTTGAGGATGGGTAGCCAATTGATGAATGATTTTGATGTAGGAGAGGAGCGGCTGCCTTGGTGTTCGTGGTGTTGATCGGCGGTAAGGTCGATGATGGAGTTGAAGAGTTCTTCGTTGTCGAAGTCGATGTAGTCGGAGGTGCGGAGTTGGTGGGTTTGGGTAGGATTTGGAGAATGAGAACCGTGTCTTGAGATAGAATCACGATATATTTGTATATGTGGAGTGGGGTTTGGTCCGGTGGTGGTGGCATCGCCGCCGGTCGACATGTTGCATTGCCGCGAGCTTGGAACAGTGCGCCTGTGTATGAGAGAGCGAAAAATAATGCTACGAACTCCTGGTCTAATTTTGAATCTTAGTGGACTGGTTTACGGTGATAACCACTTTCTATGGTACTAGTAGTAAACGAGGGTTGCGTCAACCTTACGTTCCAAAAAAGTGGGATCCACATTTAAAGGCTTCAAAGATAAGCCTCATACCTTCTTGGCGTGGGGAGATAGGCTACATTAGGAACTTACATTGAAAGCTTCTATTTTTGTCCATACATATCTCTCTCATAATATTACTTTATATATATATAAGATGTTATAAGACATTATCAGCTTTAGTCACATTTGAATAAAAAGCTCTCTCCCTATCTTAAATCTATATATCTCTTTTGTGATATTAATTTTAATAGATTGTTAAGTTTGTTTGTTTTACTGAAAAAAAAATTATATTTGACTCCAAAGGATAAGAAAATCTTAATTATTGATTATTATTCATTAAATTAATTTGTCCACTTAAGTGATATATGTGGTCACACTATGATAAGTTTTATCGCCTTTATTATTTAATGATCTACTATCTATGGTCAGTTTTACCGTCTTTATTATTTAATAATCTACTAACTATAGTCAGTTTTACCGCTTTTATTATTTAATACTATGTTCAGTTCTAACGTCTTTATTATTTAATGATATACTAACTATGGTCGGTTCTATCAACTTTATTATTTAATGATCTACTAATTATGGCCGGTTTTATCTCCTTTATTATTTAATAATTTATTCACTATGGCTGGTTTTACCGTCTTTGTTATTTAATTATATTGAAATTATAATAATTCATATTATATTGTTGTTTCACTTAATGCCATTTTATTATTAAGATATATGTTTATTTTAATACTATGCTAAATTGTATTATTATATTGTTGTTACATCTAGTTATTATGAAAATATTAAACTTAACAAAGCTGCAATTCGTGGCCTTGGACATTTTTGGCAAAAATTATTTATCTTGGATTTTGGACACTCAGATCCATTTAGATGCCATGGGTTTTGAAAACACAATTAAAGAAGAGAATGATTCATCATTACAAAATAAAGCGAAGGCTATGATTTTCCTTCGTTGCCATATTAGTGAGAAACTAAAAACTGAATATCTCACTGAAAGAGATCCATTGAGTTTGTGAAAAAAAATTGAAAGAAAGATATGATCATCAAAAAACAGTTATCTTCCCAAAAGGTCGGGTTGATTGGCAGCAACTGCGGTTGCAAGATTTTAAAACTATGGCTGAATACAACTCTATCCTATTTAAAATCATCTCTACACTAAAATTGTGTGATGATACCATAACTGATGAACTTTTGTTGGAAAAAACATTTAGGATATTTCACGCCTCGAATGTACTCTTACAACAATAATATCGAGCATGTAGATTTGAAAAATATTCAGAACTGATATCATGTTTACTTATGGCAGAGCAAAATAACAAACTTTTGTTAAGAAACCACCAATCTCATCCAACTGGATCGACATCGATCCCTGAAACATATGTTGCCTCATCCCGTGGATGTGGACGTGGACGTGGTAATAGACATGATCGTGGTGCTAGAAATGGCTATAATAATGAATATGGTCGTGGTAAAAATAACTACCATAATAATGAATATAGTCGTGGTAGGAATCACTCATATTACCGTGAAGGACATTAATTCTCAAACTTTCGCAATCAAAGATTCACACCATATCCCCAAATGAAGGATTAGAATGAAATGAAACAAGTAAAAGGGAATGATGTGGCCTAACCTCCCATGGCACATGATAATACTTGTTATCGGTGTGGAATGACAGGGCATTGGCAAAGTATTTGTCGTTTACCTAAGTATCTGGTTGAACTTTACCAAGCCTCTATCAAAGAAGAGGGGAAACAAAAAGAAATGAATTTCATTGATCATGACGAGCCAGTTAACAACACAAATCTGGATGTATCATATTTTTTTGATGACTGTGATGAAAAGATAGACCACCTGATTGGTGATGGAAATGTCCATACTAATTAATCCTATTTTCATTTCATGTTCTTTCTACTATGTTATCTTCAACAAGTTTTTATTTTCCTTGTATTAAAGTTTTTTTTTTTTTTTTTCTTTTATATTAAAGTTTCTTTTGTTATATCTGTTTCTCTTCTAATAAAGAAATTTGTACGAATAGGAATGGATCTGACTGGTTCCAAAATAAATGGTGAAGATATATGTTTTGATGATAGTGGAATGACACATACAATCATTTGAGATCAAAAATATTTTTCTCACCTAACTTTGACAGACGTTAGTGCCAGTACAATATCAGGTCACACCGACTTAATTGAAGGCTCTATATGACGTCGACCCTTGATTTTTAAACCTAATGTGCCCTGTGATGACCCAAAACGGATCCAAAATATAGAAGAAAAACATAAACAAGTCTATAGAGATGTAAATCATCCCTAAGACGCGGGAGTGGCCTTCTGAGGAGTCCCATGACTCAAGGGAAGTAAAACTGGAACTTGGGTTTCAAAACCCTCCAAGGAATGAACCAAGGGCAAAATGGTCATTACGAACTGAAATGGGTGCTACCATGCACACCATTGGAAAGACAATGAAAAATGAATGAAGTTAGAATCAAGAATTACCTGATTTGGAGTCCAGACGGAAAATATATGAAAAGGAACAAAAAGGCATCCTCCGTTTAAGAGATACCACGACCCTATCTCAGTAAAATTAAAATAACTCTCACTACAGTTGGAGTTTTGCAGTGTGGTTAGTATCATTGGAAATCTAACTTCAAGCTCTTGAATTTAGACTCAAGAACGACCAGATTTAGATTAAGAATGAAAGAGATATGACCCTCTGAAGTCGATGCAACAAAGCTGTCCAAGAAGAACTGAAATGGAGAAGCTCCAGGGAGGATTAGCCGACCGATGGCAAGGACCAACTGGCCAAATCTCAACCATTAGCCGGCTAAACCCCAATCATCAATCAGCTGAAACACCGTTTTTCACAAAAAGGCTACTGGAATGAGTCTCGAGGGCTTGTTAGCCGGTTGATGGCTCTCATAAGCCAACCGACACATATACTACAGCAGAAAAAGTTACTGCAATGTGTATGGAAAATGCCCGATCCGTTTCTAAGACTGCGCATGCATTCTACATTATCCGTACAAGTTTTAAAACCTCCCATGGACTCAAACAAGCATTCATAACATGCTAAAACAAAGAGGAACTTCAAATGACACTCCTATGCATGAATTTTTCATAAAAATTCATAAAATTGCCCAAAAATAGTTCCAAAGTTGAAACTTAAGAGTTTTGTGAAATAAGGACGTGCACGCAACCGTAAAAAGACATTTAAGAAGCGTCCCAGTGGCCCACGACTTCAAAATACCCCCATTGCAAAATATGACCCCTCAAACCTCTATTTTCCATAAAATTGCCTTATAATGTAATAAATGAAACAAAATGCAAAGCCTAAAACAAAATGGTATTTGGCCCTTGGCCACACCTCATACATGATCATAGAGACCTTATGAAAGAAAAAGAATGGAATTCTCATACCCGATACAAACATGGTGAAGTAAAGACTTAACATTTTCTATTATTTCCATAGTAAACCTTAAAAACGAAAGTGCACAAAATACAAATTAGATATCATTGGCCTATGGCCTCAACTTATACATGACAAATATATTAAAAAGAGTGTACTTATGTGCACATTACATATATGGAATCAAGGGTACAAGTTTTGATATACAAGGCTACAAAATGACATTTCATGCTAACATTTGCATGAAATGGAAACTTGAAAGTTACAAGTCATCTAAGGAATGATGAGTATCACGAACCAAGTCTTCGTACCTGAAAAATGTCCCCGGTAACTTTGGGTGAGTAACATAAAGCTACTCGTAGGAGATGAACATGCATAGATTTAGCATTTTACAAAATTATCACCTTAAGGTGAAACAAGTCAAAGTGGCTCATGCCACCTAACGTTTATGTCAAGATGAGACTCAGAGAGCATCCTAAGCTACCTTAGATCATTTTTAGCATAAATCACATCATTCATGCAATTTAAACAATATAAAAACATGTTATACAAAGTAACAAGATATATATTCTCAAAGTCCTCAACTTGAAATCAAAAATATGAAAATAACTAAAGTGGATCGTGTAACTTAACGTCTATGTTCTAAATGAATCTATAGGATTATTCCTAAGCTACATTTGAACATCAAAGCATAAATTACAATATCGATGCAATTTAACCAACATTAGAACTTCCAATACAACGCATAAAGCATGATTTCTCAAAGTTAACATTTTGAAACTTAAAATGGGTAATCAAATAAAGAACAACAAGTTACAGCATTATCTAATTATCAACTTGAAATAAAGTGTGAAATCAAACAAGGTGGATACTTGGACATCACGCCGGATAAGACCAACACCATAGTTACTTTAGGGTTACTAGCCCACGGGTAATCTCCCTATGTACGCACTAGACTATAGAGGGACAATTCCACGTACTAGAACCATGTCCTAGCCGTAGTCAAACAATGACATCCCCAAGTTTTTAAAATCAACAAGTTGTGCAACAGCGTATATATCAACATGTATATACAAGATAATCAACTATCTATCACGCACAACCAAATTTGAAAACACATACAATACATGTTCTAAATCCACAACTACTATGGCATGAAAGATGCCAAATACAAAGTGTGCAACTCATTACACAAGACAACAATATATTCAATAATGAAAACATATTTTCATGAATATAAATATAACAACTATGTTATCCCATGCTCAAAACATAACCAAGTGAATATACAACAAGTCCAAGTCCATGATTTAAACATAGAAACAACTTTCAAAACATAATTAAATCCATGGAGCAATTAGATAGAATTTAACTAAATAAAAATAATTAAATTCTCTAAATTCCAAATCAATTCCACATAA